GTTTTCAAAAACGACACGGACTCCAGTTGGGACTACACACTGGATGCATCCGTCTCCAAGGATGCCTGCAACGGACGACGGAGGAGCACCGTTGCTACACGATCTTTTCATCTTCGGCGGAAGGCCGACCCCGCACAACGAACGTCAATCATTAGTCAACCAATCCTTCTGGGAGCCGGCGGAGGAAATGGATTTGCACCGAATTTTTCACCACCCGAGTATCATCCGTCGGAAAACTGGAAACCAACACCGGCCAGAACACACGTCAGACTGATGAAGGACGCACCGCTGACCCGAAACGGACCAGCCAATTTTCCAAGCTGAACTACTTGTCAGAGTCCACCAACCCGTACACCCTGCAGGACAATTCGATCAGCTTCAAGGTCTACAGCGCCTCCAAGAACAATCGCTTCCCAGGCCAGCAATAATCGCATTCTCCACTTCTTCAGTAACCCACCCGTATGCCGTCCGAGGATCTGCTGCTGACTGCATTCACCACCAAGTGCGGATGTTCCCGCTGAAATCGGGAAGTTCCTCCTCCGGATTGGTCGAGCTCCCGAGCGTAGCCCTGGCGGTGAACGTCATCATGAAGTGCAACCACAGCGCGATGATCACAAATGCACAAAACACCCGTTCATTATGAAGCTGTGCTTCTCCTCCTCCAAGAAGATGAACGGTGCGTGGAGCAACGAGAACACCGAAAACACGTTAGCTTTGAAAGAGCGGAAGCTTATTTTCTGAGAAAAGAAAGGATTTTCCTTTTTCTGGGTAGTTAATGTTATGATTCGTAATTATAATTTCTTATTGTGTTAGTGGGAAGTGCAAAAAGGAACGAGAGTAAAAATTTGTTGAACTATTTGAGATTTTGCCAAGACGGTCCTCCAACATTATATGTTGGACGATGGAATGGTTGATGTAGCAGCCACCGCCATGGATGTATTCGAGCAGTTTTGTTTGGTTGTTGACTTTCCGATTAAAACTCAAGCACCGCTTGTCGTGACCGGCCCAAGATTTCCAGCGTCGACCACGGCTACACAAATTAGCGATGCAGCTCCCACGGCTACGGCTGATTCCAATGCTGCTGCTGCTGTTCCTTCTGCTGGTCCATCTCCTCTAAAATTCGTCAAAAAAGACGGACCAGCAGCAGCATTGGAAGTAGCCGCGCCGTGGGAGCTGCATCGCTAGTTCGTGTAGCCATGGCCGGAAACCTCGGTTAGGTCAAGATACCGCTGTCAGCTGTTCTTCGTATGAGAGGAAATGTGGATGCGACTGCCGTCACGGGTGTAACGATTTTGAGAATCCATGGCGAGACTTGGTGGAGATTCACGGTTGTTTTGAAAATAATTTGACTAGGAGTGGCAACGTCAATAACAAATTTTGACACATGCACACTGGGCAGGCGCAGAAAAAGTTCAGTGTTGCCAGTAACTTTGAAGATCATAAATTGTAACCATGGGTGCCAAACAACGTCAATGACTGCACCCCGATGTGCCCCAGTTTGATTTTGGCACACTGTGTAGAGTGACCAACCCCTTGGTTTTCTATGAGTCACAATTAGCGATTTGCTGATCGCTGAGTAAGTGAGTGAGTGAGTGTGTGAAAAATCGCTAATTGTGACTCTGAAATAAACAGGTTTAATATGTCAAACACATTCTTTGCAACCCCTTCTTGTATCTTACCAATTCAAAATATAATCATGGCATGGGGATTTCATAATTTAAAAAAAAATTGTTTTACCTGAAATGAGTATTTGCAACCTTGCCCGGAATCACTATTTGAAGACAACCAAGGAGCTATTGCAATCGACATCGACGTGAAGTTCCACTTCATCCGTGATGCAGTTGCAGAAGGCAAGATCAAATTGATCTACGTTCCTACGCAGAAACAACAAGCAGAGACCCTCACGAAGTCTCATCCCGCTCCTATTTTTACTGCTTTAAGAATTGGAACTGGAAGGAAAAAAACCGACGAAATAACTGAGAGGGGTTGTTGGAAATCAAAGTAACCTACGTTTTTGCAGTTCATTTCCTATTTCCTTGATGCTATCAACAATATTGCGATAACTACATAGCAACGAGGCATTATATAAATCGAACACTGTCGCTCTTCGCATGTCGGTCCCATCGTCGTTTTTGGCAAAACTGAGTTTATCAGCTAACTACCTATATTTTCATTATACTGGATGAACTCATCAACTTTGTTCTGAAAAGTTTGGAAAGACAGTCACAGTGGTTGTCCCATGACATAATAAGCAATGGTACGAAACAAACTTAAAATGCGATTTTCTCGGCTTGCTGATTTTTACTATGGGACGGACATGCGAAGAGCGACAGAACAGATGTTGTATGATTATTCAGTAATAAACCACAATTTAACTGTTAACTCATTTTTCTCTTCAAATTCAAAGAGAGAGTCACATCTTTTCAGAGGTAGGATAATTTTTTAAAAACTGCAGGAACTCAGCGCTGAGTGCTGAGTAGTAGAATAGAGGTAACTCTACAGAAGGTCCCGAAGAAACGTGCTCAACTTTTTGGCTCAGCTCTAGCCTCTCTTCAGACCCAAGCTAATCGATGCACCCCTCGAAACATACACGCAGGCAAAAGAACGTAGGAATTCCATGAGAAACACTTATGAATTTTGGCCACTATAAATGAGCATGAATTTCATTGATTTGCCTTATGAAAAATCATGTTGTCAAAAAAATAATAAATCAGAGCAGACTGGGACCGAACCATGAACGTTGAGATTACGGAACTCGTGTGTTGACCACTCGTCTTTCAACGCTTAAGAAAATGGAATGGCTAAAGGCGTATAAGAGCTACACACACAAAATAATCACTACTAAAATTTAAAAAAAATCATTGGTAGAATTAAAAGTTTTCGTTGGTTCTTTTTGGTAGAAAGTCTGCCCGAAAAAAAAATTACAGTGAAATTTTCAGTGGAAACAATGCTCTAACATGAATATTTATTGTCGACAATAAAAATGATTGTTATAATGTTGTACTCTTCCGAAAACGGCAAAACTGCTACCTAGCTGTACAATGAATGTACATAATAAAATGTTGTTACAATGATTTTTATCGTATTTTTCATTTATTTTATTGTTAAAATGATTCGATCATGAACAATAATGAACAACTCTATTACAATAAAAATTGTTGTTACATTAAATATTGGTGTATTTTCATTGTGGGTTACTTCATGAACAATAAAAATAAATCTGATTGAACGATTGAAGCATGCAGACTATGAGAGGGTCAGCAACACTGCCAATGTAATTAAGATAGGCGCTGCTCGTATGGCTCTAGCTTTGACAGTTCGTTTGGCTCAAAACCAGGCAGTCCGCGTCCGCTCATATCTTATCCTAGACCCTCTCTAAAGCTTAATGGAGACCGAGATGGAGACCTTTTCCGTGCAGTCAATAATCATACAATAATAATAAAAAATTCCACCACTTGAAGATGTCAGGAAGGAACTCTCAGGTGGAAGCATATTTCATGGGCGATTCTCTCCAGTCGAATGCATTAACTTATCAACGACGCTCAACCACCAAGGAGACGTGACCTAGGGATATCGAGCGCAGGGGAGTTGGCCTGCATTTCTCACAAGTTCCGGATCGAATCTCGATCCATAACCAGTAAAAAAAAGGACCACCCGTAACAGACATACCACCCCCTTCCCTTCTCGGGGCAATGTTTTATTTTTTCGATTTATTTTTAAAGTCGATAAAGTAGATCTGTCAAGCCAACACATACACTCTAAAGTACAGTGTTATTTTTTTAAATCAATAAATTCGCCAACCAACAGTAAAATAACAATAATATATAATGTTATTGAAAAAAAATTATATGGGAAAATCACGAAAATTTCATTGTTAAGATACTTAACAACCCGCATAAACGCGAACCATAAATTGACCTTACCTAAAATGGTTAAAAATAGTTTATAATCCCTGCTAAACTTTAACTGAAATGGTTATGGAACTTTACATGAACGTTTAATGATAAAGTTTCAACCTTATGTATTATGGTTTTTCGGAACTGGACCTTACAAATAATGGGTTGTTAAGAACCATTACCGTTCCAAATTCTTGTTTTCTCCATACATTTTCGGAAAGAGAACTACATTAGAACCTTTTAACTTATGGTTTGAGAACTTTAATGGTAATGGTTATGGTAGTCAGTAAGGTCCACGAATGGTTTTGTAACATCGACCAACTTTATGTGGAATATATCGCGAATTGGTTGCCTGTAATTTACTGATTACCAATTCACAATATATTCCACGTAAAGTTGAGCGATAATACAAAACCATTAATGGACCTTACTGACTACCATAACCATTACCATTAATGTTCTCAAATCATAAGTAAAAACGTTCTTATATAGTTCTCTTTCTGAAAATGTATGGAGAAAACAAGAATTTGGAATGGTAATGGTTCTTAACAACCCATTATTTGTAAAGTCCATTTCCAAAAAACCATAATACATAAGGTTGAAACTTTATCATTAAACGTTCATGTAAAGTTCCATAACCATTTCAGTTTAAGTTTAGCAGGGATTATAAACAATTTTTAACCATTTTAGGTAAGGTCAATTTATGGTTCGCGTTTATGCGGGAACCCCCCTTTTTTATTGTAAATTTTCCATTTACCATGAAATTTATTGTTTTGTACAACATAAATCAAGGTAATTTTATTGTAGACGTAACAATATAAATCATTGTTAAGACAATAATTTTCGTCTTATTGTTACATTGTTTTTTAATGTATTTTTGTTGTTATTTTTTTTCGGGTGAAGCATTCAAAATAAATATAAATTTCACATACAGCTGAGTAGAAGTGACACTCTCTCTCTGCGTTATTCTCAGTGGCCGTGTTAAACTTCGATGAACCAAGTCGAAATCGCCCCATTCTTAAATAAAACGTCAATTGATGAACTCGAACGTCACTTGACAGATAAGTCGCACGGTCCAGTGCATCTGTTTGTTTACACGCGAATCAATTTTCGCTGTTTTTCACCAAGTTTTGATAAAATTGAATTCCAAAAAAACAGAAGGCAAATTTGTACAAATTTCAATACGATCTTCTGTCGGCAACGATGCTCGATGGTTGGTACTGTCGTTCGATGAACGAACAAGCACTTCAGCAACAGCAGCAGCAGCAACAACATCCACATCCGTCCCAGTCGCAAAGCCGAAACTCGCTGGATGGTGACGATTTGGGCGACCGGGAAGATCGGGACGGTGGCGACAGCTCCGGCCAGGAAGAGGACAGCGACGAGGATGTTCTGCCGAGAAGGCGCAACATTGACTACAAGGCACAGTACAACACTCTCAAGAAGAAGCTGAAGTATCTGCTCTATGTGAGTAGTGTGAGGAGCGGTGGATTATAGTCTTTGTATTTCTGGTGGAATGATTGTTTGGATGTATCTTTGTTTCTAGGAGAATGAATTCTTCCAAGAGAATTTACGCACCAGCCAGCGCCGGCTGTTGAAGGTCACCCGCGACAGATCATTCCTGCTGGACCGGCTGCTGCAGTACGAAAAAACTGATCTCACATCTTCGGAAAGCGAAGACACCGAATCGTCGGATGATTCGTCGAAAATGGAACCAGCTCCGACGGTAGGTCGGAAGCGCAAGAACGACGCGTCCGGTTCGAACAATGCTTCACTGATAAAGAATCCACCCAAGCGGAGGAAACCCGGTCCGAAGAAGCAAATTCCTCAGCAGGTAGTGCTCCAGCAGCAAGCCATTCTGCAGCAGCAACGACAGCTGCAAGCTCAACATCAGGCGCAGATTATGGCCCAGCTGCAGGCTCAGTCGCAGCAGTTCCACCAGCAGCATCAGATTGTCAACAATCACCATCAGCAGCAGCAACAGCAACAACAGCACCAGGAAGGCCATCTGACGACGGAGGAAGTCGAGCGACACCTGCAATCGCGGGCCCAATCCATGCTGGAGGTGGTTCCGGAGGGGGAGCTGCCGAACGAGATGTTCAGCCAGAATCCATCCAGCGAATCCAATGACCAGATGGTGGACACTTCACCGAGCAACATCGGCGAGGAGTGCCTGTCGGTCGATTTGAACATGATGCAACAGGAATGACCGCAGGACTGCAGTTTGTGTCTGTAGGTTTTGGTGTGTTAGCTTTTATGGAATAAATCGATGCGATTGAACGGAAGGATTTTGTGGGTGGTAGTTTCTTGAGAGAAAGCTTTTTTTTTGTTGGGAGGATGGGATAAGTTCCGCGCATGTGCATCTGTAGCTGGGTGCCGTCACAACAGTCGCAGTTAGTTGGAATGGCCATCAACGATCCGCACCAGTGTCGGCTGTGCCTGCGAGTTTGTGACGACACCTTCCTGGAGAGTATCTTCTCCGAGAAGGAGTACAGCATCGCGCATCAGATCTTCGAGTGCACTTCGATACGGGTCACCAAGCAGGACAACCTGACCAAAATCTGTCGGAACTGTGCGGCGCTGTTGTTCATTACGACCGAGTTCCGGAATGCGTGCTTCAAGACCAACCGACTGCTGATGGAGGACTTTGTGATCCTGGAGGTGGGCGAGTGGGTAGACGAGACGAATCGGAGTGCCCTGGCCAGCTGTTCGCAGCTGATTGTGAAGCACAAGCAGCAGGTGGACTACCTGTATGATAGTATAGTGCCCGATTCGGAGTCGTATCTGGCGGGATCGCTGGAAATCGAGCGGGAGTTGTTTAATTCGGCCACTAGTGGGGTCGAACCGAAGGATCAGAAGGAAAAGGACGGGGGAGAGGACTTGGGTGAAATGGAGGCGGAAGAACCGGATCCGGAGATTATTCAGGAGATTACGAAATTTCTAGAAGCGCAGCAGACGATCGGCGAGGGCGGAATGTGCCAGATTTGCTCGTTGGACGTGGGGACGAAGATTTCGGATAATTCGGCAGCTGAATTTGAGAAGTACTTCCAGGAAAAGCGAACAGCGTGGATCTGCGACATGTGCCAGCAGTGTTTGGAAATGGTCACTATGTGGCGTGGGTTGTTTCGGACCGGAAGCAGCAGAAGCAAGGGCATTACGAGTACGGTGCACAAACTGAGTAGTATCAAGGAAACTCAGCGTCATCTGTTGAAGCAATTTCACGATCTGAAACTGCAGCTGGAGAAGGCGGAGAGACCCAAGTCTAAGTCGGAGGGGGTGAAGGTGACCAAGCGTAAGACAATCGAATGCAGTCAATGTGGCAAGCGCTACGACAGCTGGAAGATGAAAGCCCATCTGAACGAGCATGAACGTAAGTCTGCATATTGGGAACTAGATACGGGTTTTAAAATGTTGTATTTGATGATGAATTCCAGAGAAGAAACCATTTAAGTGCGACCAACCGGGGTGCAGCAGTGCCTTCGCCGGAGTTGATCTGCTGAACCGCCACAAGAAGCTCTGGCACACGGATTACTTCTACAAGAGCTGTCCGACGTGTGGTAAAAAATGCAAAACTCAAGGAATCTACACGACGCACATTTCTTACCACGAGGAACCGCAGCTCCCTTGTGAAGTGTGCGGAAAACTGATGAGAAACAAGTAAGATTTCGGCTCAAACTTCAACATGGAAATTATCTATCTGTATTTTAACAATTGCAGACGAAGCATGTGGAAGCACATGAAGTCCCATCAGAAGCCGGAACACCGGGAGCACGTGTGTGAAGTATGCAACAAGCGCTTCGCAGTGGCTTACACCCTACGAGTTCATCGTCGCATTCACACAAATGAAAAACCCTTTCCTTGCAACCTCTGCGGGAAGCAATTTCAGTACAACTGCCTGCTGAAAAACCACGTGGACAGGTATCATAAAGCGCAATGAGATGGACTGATGTGATAACCAGAAAAGTACCCATTCATCGAATTAACATGCATCCTTTCATTGAACCGAATCGTACCTCATGCTACAATTCTGCTCCTGTTCAGCTGGATAGCTGTGTTTCTCCTCCTCTTCCTGTATCCGTTGCTGCTGCGCCGGGTAGGTACCATTTCGCATGTGTGTCTTGTAGTGAGCTCCCAGGTTGTGCTTCACCGTAAAGCGCTTACCACAAATCTCGCACGGGAAGAGTGCCACTCCTGTATGAACCACGGAATGCAACTTCAGCCCGAATCTGCAAGTACAGAATACCTTGAAACTGATCCAACCTCCTCCTCCAAACACGAAACCTACTTCCGGCGGAACTTCTTCCCGCAAACGTCGCACTCATGCTTGGGATCCTCCGTGTGCAGCTTCCGGTGTCGCATCCAGCAATTCGTTCCCTTGATCCGTTTGCCGCAGTCCTGACAATCGTAGAATCTCATTATACTCTTGTGCAAATGCCGATGCTGCTGTAGGCTATACTTCGAGTACAATCGCCTTCCGCAGCCTTCGATTTCGCACACAAACGGCTTCACGCCCAGGTGCCGATTCAGATGACCCTCCAGACAGACCTGCGAAATCAACTCCCCGCACGTGTCGCACATCACCTTTTCGTTTTTCATCTTCCGCTCCGAATAATTCTGCTTTCTCCTGCCACGTTTCCTCTTTGGCTTCTCTTCTTCCTCTTCCTCATCTACTTCTTCCTGATCCGAGTCCGCCACATCTCCTACCAAATCAACTTCATAGTTGTAATCCTGATTATCATCCTCGTCCTCTTCCTCCTTAATATCCAACTGTAGCACCGATTTTTGCTCGTCCGCATCTCCTTTCTCCTCCTCTTTGATCTCTTCCATAAACTCACATGGTCTCTCCTCCGGAACGGTAACTTTGAAAATTTCCTGCTCCGTTTCGATGATGGCAGTTTCGACCGGTTCATCAGCCTCCAGCACCGTTTCTCTGTGCCGATCCATCAGACTCCAGAGCGAATCGATCAACCCGGATGCCTGCTTCCAGCGGTCCGCGCTGAGAGTGTGTCCCTTAACCATCAGTCGTTCCGTCTGTTGGCAAATGTCCTGGAAGCACGCTATCAGATCGATCATCATCCGGCAGGTGGTGCAAATCCGAGTGGCGTAGTCATTTCGGTGCGGCTGTGGCAGAAAGGGAGCTTTTAAACTATTTCGATCCAGACAGGGACGTGTCCTTACCTTGATTCCGACGGCTCGGGTGATTCGCTTCTTCCAGTCCGAACCGCGGGTGAATATTTCGTGCAGGTCATCGTTGGGGTACTCGTGGAGACACAGACGGCACAGTAGCACGCGGCGGCCGTAGGTTCTCCTTGTTGACTCTTTCGCGATGGGTTCTTCCGACATCCGGAAGGTTTTCCACCGTTTTTTTTTTCTCGAGGATTTGCTAATGTTTGTTTCGTGATTCGATCGCCAGTTGTTTATGTTTTATGAGAGAAACTTCAAACGCTTCGTGAAAGTGTTGCCATCACGAAAGGGGATTTGTGAATGCACGGTTAATGAGAATCACTCAAAGAGAGAGAGTCACTTTTACTCAGAGGTGTGGAGAAATTTCTAAAAACTGCAGGAACTCATCAGCGCTGTGATCCTGATGCGGTTTTCAGAAATTTCTCACACAACTGAGACACAACTGGCCGCAGTTTGAAACCTCACTGCAGGAGGAAGACGAACGGCCACGAAATACGTGTATCTGTCAAGGATAAGCAGCTAAGACAGTGCACTTAATGTAGACTTTTGATATAAAGGAATTTTCCAATATGTCTTTATACGATATAAACAAGCCCGCTATAGATTTCCGATCCCATTTATAAACCATCGACACTGCCGGTGGCACCTTTCATCAGCTTAAGGTAGTTTCTCTTAAAAAAAAAACAAATTTCTCACGCAAGAAAACCCATCTATTTCACGATGATCCTTCGCCTCGTCTCCAGCCACTCCTGGTAGTGCATCTTTTTCCGGTGCGAGTGCATGTTCGCGTTGGAATTGAACGTCTTCGGGCAGTGCGGACAGGTGTACAGGACCTCCCCACTGTGCGAGGCGATGTGCTCCTTCAGCGTCAGGGCTCGCTTGAAAACCTTCCCGCAAAAGTTGCACGTGAACCGGGCATCCGAGTGGGCGAACCGCACGTGGCTCCTATGGGCCAGTATGTTGGGCGATTCCTTTCCGCAAGTCTCGCACCGATAGGTCGGCGAATTGTGCCGCAGAATGTGCTTGTTCAAACTTACCTTCAGCAGCCACTGGGAGCAGATTGGACACTGAGCCTTATCCTCCGGACCCTTGGGACCGTGATCCTTCAGATGACGCAGGAAAAGACCCTTCTGATTGAAACCTTTGGCGCAGTGATCGCATACGTACTCGAACGTCGAGGTGTGGCTATTCTTCACGTGCTGCTTCAAAAGAGCTGCATTTCCAAAGCTAACGAGAAATGAATGCTTCATGTATTTGATAATTTCGAAACATCAGAAAACAACCACTTACTACTTGTTACACTGCTCACAGGGGAATTCCTTCTGCTCAAGTGCTTGGTGATAGCGTTTGTGACTGTTCAGGACCGATTCTTGGGCGAATGCTTTCAAACATCTGTCGCATTTGAACGGTCGCTCTTCGATCGGCGTGTGGACTTTGAGCTTGTGCCGCTTCAGTCCTTCGCTATCGACGCAGTTCCGTTTGCAGATATCGCACTGGAACTGTTCCGGATTGGCGTGGCGCTGCACGTGTTCATATAGCCGAGTTCGCGTATTAAACCTCCGATCACAACAGAACACGTACGCCCGTCGCTGGTGTTCCGATGCAGAATGCGCCTGCAGTGCATTGAACGAATCGAACGTGAGCGTGCACTGATCGCAGTGCATATTGCAATAACTTGCAATTAGCGCATCGGCCTGAGCAATCCTATCTGCCAGTTTCAGTTTCTTACGGCTACGCTTCCTGATTTTGGTTGCCTTTCCTAACTTTTCCTCAGCCTCGTCCTCTTCTTCTTCTTCTTCTTCCTCATCCCAGTCTTCGGTATCATCTGCTTCCTCTTGCTCCTCAACGTCCTCATCGAATAGATGTTCCTCTTCCATGAAAACCGTCGCATCTTCCAACTTGCCGTCCACAGTGGTCTCACCTTCTTGCTTACTCTCTAGAAGCTCTTGGGAAAAGGAATACCCGTATCCCTCCTGCTCGTGCTGTTGCTCCTCCCCTTCCCCATCAACATCCGGCAGTTCCTCCTTTACCTCGGCAAACGGCAGACTGAGCTTGTGCTCGTGAGCCTCCTCAATGTCGCAGTAGAAGCGGTGGAATTCCTCGATCTTCGACCAGCAGCGAGCGCATAGGAATCCCTGGAAGAGGTCGTTTAGCTGGAATACGCAGAAAAGGATGGTGAGGTGAATTCGTCCATTATAGTTGAACTTAGCTAGGTACTTACATCGAACCAAAAATGCTTGGCCACCACTGTACTACGGAAGGAAGAAGTTTCGTTCGACGGCTTCGACTGGTGAAGCTTGACATCTTCCGCTTCGTCCATCATCGGGATGAAATCGTCCGTCTCCCGCAGGCAGGTGAAGCAGCTTCTTGAAAGTTTTTCTGCCATTGTTCAGAACACGGAGATAGTGGATTTAGGGTTTTTTTTGCCGAATTTTTGTAATTTATACGGAGAGCTTGGTAAATATTTACGTTTGAAAGCTTTTCTTACACGCTAAAATTGATTCAGCTATTTATTTTGGTTGATAAACGTCAAATAGCATTGGGCGATATATATTTGTAAATATATGTTTACTGCGTACGTTTCTGAATGGGCAGCAGTGGTTTCTAGATAAACATTTCAAATGGTCGTATCTGCATTAATCGATTCTGTTCATCGACTTTTTCTTTCGTTAATAACTCAGTTTCAAAACCTTTCCCTGTTGTATTTGACGGAACAACTTTTGACAGACGACCATACTTTTACTGTAGGGCTTTAGTGTGTAGTGGTGCCAATAAACCCGAGCGTCTGTTCACCATGGAGGTGCGGCTCAAACAGCGTCTGACTGGCATACAGCGGCTGAATAAGAAATGCTCTTCCCCGGAAGCTACACCTAAGATGGCAGCCCCATCACGGCGGATAGGAGACCTTAGGCCAACCACCTACTGTCTCTGAAACCTTTACAATTGTTACAGAAACCAACAGAGAAAGACATCGAACTGATTTAACGGCAATGACTTTTAGCGCAAAACAACGGACACGAATTGGATCATGGAATGTATTGACATTAGCCCAGCAGGGTAAACTGGCACAACTCGCCAACGAGGCGCGACGCATGAAGCTAGAAATCCTGGGACTGAGTGAAGTTCGTTGGCCAAACTTTGGAGAACACAAACTGCCGTCGGGACAGGTACTACCAACAATCAATACGAAACTAACGATTTTAAATTGGCTCACCATTTTAGTAGCCTATTGGTCCCAAGCAAACGATTAACGTACCCTATTCTAGTTGAAATTCTATTACTACACTATGCGAGGGGGACGACTCTATCTACGATGCAGAAAAGATTGTGTTTTGCTGTGGCTAGCTGCGCGCACGCTAAGTAGATAGAAAGAAGATTGATGACGATTCTGAGGTATTCCTGCAACAAGATGATGCACGATACAAGTAGATGCGAGAAATTAAATAAGATTTTTGGAAGATTGATTCGCTAGTGTGAAATTTGTTGAGCATCTAGACTTGAGATTTAGATGTGTCGTCCCCCTCGACACTATGTTTGTTTTGATTCGCTATGAAAGTTTGACAGATAACATCAGGGGTGTGTGGATTCATGCAGAACATGCAGGGGTGAGTGAAATAGCTTGGGACTGCTTGGGACCGTTGTTCTGGTACTGAGTGAGCCAGAAATAATAATGATTTTCTTCGGGACCCAGTGGTCTTAGAGTTACCTCTATGGTACTACTATACTCCGGTATTGGAGGTGAAAACGCTCCCCGCCATCGTGGAGTTGGTCTCCTACTTAGCGTCCAGGCAAGTGCTGCGCTCATCAAGTGGGAGCCTGTTAATGAGAGGATAATCGTTGCCAGATTTGGAACACGGGTTCGTAACCTTACCATAATCCAATGTTATGCGCCAACCTATGCTGCCGAGCTACAGGACAAGGAGAATTTTTACAGTCAACTGAATGCCGTCGTGGATAAGGTTCCAAAGGGTGACATCAAGATCTACACTGGCGACTTCAATGCGAAGATCGGCTCCAACAACACGGACTATGAGCGTGTCATGGGACGCCATGGTCTCGGCGAAATGAGAACGGTGAGCTGTTTGCAGAATTTTGGGACAATAACGACATGGTGATCGGGGGCTCGCTCTTCCCCCATTGGCCAGTGCACAAAGTCACGTGGGTTTCCCGTGATGGACATACCGAGAATCAGATCGACCACATCTGCATCAGCCGAAAATGGAGACGGAGCCTTCTTGATGTCCGGAATAAACGCAGCGCCGACATCGCGTCTGACCATCACCTTCTAATCGGTGAAATCCGCCTACGCATGGGGTGGATCCAGCGACGGGAGGAGAGACTCGGGCGGCGGTTCAACACACGCCGACTTGAAGATCCAGCGGTAAAAAGGTCTTTTGTTCATGAACTTGAGACTCGAGCTGTGGACGTTCCAGAAGGTGGCAGCGTAGAAGAACAATGGACGGCCATCAAGAATGCCTTTATAAAAACAAGCGAGAACAACTTGGGTGAGCTGCGCACCCAGAGGAAAGAGTGGATCACAGATGAAACCTGGCGGAAGATTGAGGAGCGTAGAGAAGCAAAAGCCGCGATAGAGCGGGCGAGAACAAGAGGAGCCAAGAACGAAGCCCGTCAACGGTACTCGGCTCTAGAGAAGGAAGTCAAGCGCTCTTGCAGACGGGACAAGCGAGCGTGGGTGAACTCCCTGGCCGACGAAGGGGAGAAAGCCGCAAACACTGGCGATATACGCCTCCTCTACGATATCTCACGACGCCTGAGTGGAGCAAGGATGAACCCGAGGATGCCAGTGAAGGACACGACTGGACAATTGCTTACCGACCCCACTGACCAGCTGAAACGCTGGTTTGAGCACTTCGAAAAACTTCTTCAAGTTTCGACGGCCAACCAGCCATCAAAATCTCGGCATGATCCGCCTAGGGTGCGGCGCATTACTCGCGTCAATTCCGAGGCCCCATCACTGCAGGAGATTGAAGCAGCTATCCGAAGCATGAAATCCAACAAGGCTCCAGGGGTCGATCGCATACACAGCAAAAAAAGTTGTTGAATATTACATCGAAACTGCTGCAACCAGGTCAATCCATCGGTTGTGTAATATCACATTGTACGATGTACATTGATTTTGCGAACAAAATTACATCCATTGATGTAATATTGTATCTGCTTTTTGCTATTACATCATTTTTTTATACATCAGCTTGAATTACGTTGATCGATATTACATTTTTTTTTGCTGTGTATCAGCAGAGATGCTCAAAGCTGACCCCATGCTATCCGCACAAATGTTGCATCAACTATTCTGTAATATCTGGGACACCGCGACTTTTCCGGCCGACTGGATGCAGGGCATCTTAGTGAAGGTCCCAAAGAAGGGGGATCTGACTGTGTGCGACAATTGGCGAGGCATCATGTTACTGTGTATTGTTCTTAAAGTTCTGTGCAAAGTTATCCTGAATCGGATACAGGAGAAGATCGACGCGACTCTCCGACGGCAGCAGGCAGGATTCCGTGCCGGAAGATCTTGTGTGGACCATATTGTCACGCTCTGCATCATCCTGGAGCAGGTCAATGAATTCCAAGAGTCCCTTTATTTGGTATTCATTGACTACGAAAAAGCTTTCGACCGTCTCAATAACGAGAATCTGTGGGGCGCTCTGAGACGCAAGGGAGTCCCGGATAAAATCGTCAACCTCATCTAAGCGCAGTATGAGGCTTTCACGTGCAGAGTTCTGCATAACGGAGCCTTGTCCGACCCTATCCAGGTAGTCTCTGGTGTGAGACAAGGATGTATACTATCACCGCTACTGTTTCTCATCGTAATCGACGAGATCATGGTAGGTGCAATTGACCGTGTACCGAACCGTGGGCTGCTTTGGCAACCTATCACCATGGAGCATCTCAACGACTTCGATTTGGGTGATGATGTTGCTCTACTAGCACAACGGCGCTCTGATATGCAGAGTAAGCTCAATGACCTAGCCGAACGCTCCTCTGCGGCGGGTCTCACCATCAACGTCAACAAGACCAAATCGTTGGATATCAACACGGGCAACCCTTCCAACTTTACGGTAGCGGGGCAAGCAGTGGAGAAGGTCGAAAGTTTCCAATATCTTGGCAGCCAAATAGCGTCGGACGGCGGGACCAAGAGCGACATAGGTGCACGAATCAAGAAGGCTAGGGCTGCCTTTGCGAGTTTACGAAACGTATGGAGATCCAACCAGATAAGTCAACGCACCAAAATCCGAATTTTCAACTCGAACGTGAAATCTGTGTTGTTATACGCCAGCGAGACGTGGTGTGTATCAGCGGAGAACACTCAAAAGCTGCAGGTCTTCATCAACCGATGCCTGCGGTATATAATTCGCGCCTGGTGGCCTCACAACTGGATCTCGAATGCCGAGCTCCATCGTCGATGTCATCAGAAGCCGATAGCAACAGAAATTCGAGAGCGAAAGTGGAGGTGGGTCGGCCACACACTTCGACGGGGTGGAAACGAAATCTGCAAGCAAGCGCTGGATTGGAATCCAGCAGGACATCGCAGCAGAGGCAGACCCAGGGGCTCATGGCGGCGGAGCCTCAATAAGGAAATTAAGCAAGTCGATAGATAGGTCAAGGCAAAAGCGAGCAGCCGCCCAGGATAGAAGTCTTTCACGTTGGCCCTTTGCACCGCTGGTGGTGCACAGGACCCTTAAGAAGGTGCCAATAAATCCATTATTAGAATAAGGGTACGGCCAGAGTAGACGCGACCAATTCAAAAGAATTTTATTATTTATTATTATTCCTTGCGTGAGTCACATCGCATCGTGTCGCGTGTCGCGTTTACCCTGGCCGCGGCCTAACGCTTCCCACATAAACGTGAACCATAACAATATGACCTTATCGAAAATGGTTGACATGCTAAGCTTTAACTAAAATGGTTATGGAACTTTACATGAACGTTTGAATGATTTTTTGGAAGGTGACCTTACAAATAATAGATTGTTAAGAACCAATACCGTTCAAAATAGTTGTTTTCTCCATCCAGCATTTAACGAGCGCTCATGGCCGCCACAATCTGGTTGAGTTTCTGGTAGGGAATATATGATTTGAAGTTTGGCTTGTGTCGTTTGACCTTTAAACGGTCAAATTTGATCGTTTATACGTCAAACGAACTAAGCCAAACATCAAATCTAATATTCCCTACCAGAAATTCAGCTAGATTGTGGTGGTCATCAGCGCTCGTAAAATGCTTGATACATTTTTTGAATGAGAACTATATTAGAACCTTTTTACTTATGGTTTGAGAAATTTAATGGCAATAATTTCTATTGGTAAATTGGGAGAGAGATTGAACTGGTTTGGTTGATGGTTGTAACGAGAATGAATAACAATTTATTGACAATGTCTTCTGCTTGATACGTCACACTGTAACACTCCTCCTTGATTTTATTCAGTAGTAGCCCTAACTGTTCAGCCAAAATTCTAATTTTCCAATAATGCAACGGTTTTGCGACGATTTCGGCAAGCATATTTTTAGTTGGACAGTAATTTTGTTTAAGGGCCCATGCATTAATTATGTCACGCTAAATTGAGCAAAAAATTACCCCCTCCCCCCTATCGTGGAGCCTATCGTTTTTCCTATACCTAATGCATTGCTTGTCATAAAATCTTAGACACCCCCATCCCCCCTTAGAGTGTGACATATGTGAATACAACGTGTTTGGGGTATCAATTGTGGAAAAGTTGAACTATTTGGGTAAACGTTGTTTGCTTATAAGGGTTGTCTTTGTAGCCGTTACTGGCTATGAGACATCCTCGCCGGAATCAGCTAACAACTTCTTCACCCAAGTGAGCTCTTGACATGCCTCTGCCAATGCCACGAACTCTGCCTCCGTATAGACGATAGGGCGACGCAGCTCTGCTTTCTAAATGCCCAGCTTATGATACCAAATTTGAAAAAAAATCAGGAAACCGGTGTTTGACTTTCGGTCGCGATCATTGCCTACCCACTCAGCATCCGCAAAAAGCTCCAAGTCTGTGTTTGTCGATCCCAAGTTCAATCTGTGGTCGCATGTAGTCTTCAGGTATCTGAGCACCTTTTTCGTTTCATGCCAATCCAGCTGCTTGAACAACTCGACTTCTGTGCCAGAATCGATGTGCTAACCGCTATGTCTGAACGCGAATGAACGGCCACGAACAGCAAACCGCATTTCAAACTGAGGTACTGTGCGTTGCTCGGTCAATCGATTCTCTTCCTCCTGCTGCTTGGATCCGGTCCAAAGGAATCTTGGACGGTTTAGCATCTTTTAACCGATGCTTCTGAACGAGCTACAAGATGTAGTTCCGTTGGTTCAGCTTGAATCCACTAGAATCCCGCTCGACATCGATCCCGAGAAAGTGTTTCACTTCCCCAAGGTTGGAAAATTCGAAGATCTTCTGTAGCTCACGTGCAGTAAATTCCTCGTCAGTTTGGGTGACAATTAGCATTGGATGTACAGACACGGATCTGCTGTCGAAGGCTTGAACCCCTTTGTTCGGAACACTTCGTCGATCCGCTGGTTCCGTACACGGGTGGATTGTTTTAGCCTGTATCTGTTCTTCCTCACCAAGCAGACTATGTCTGGGTTCCCCGTGGAGTATCGTTCAGGCTGCTTCATGTAGATGGGCTCTTCCAACATTATCATGATGATCATCTTGATGATTTGCTTTGCTTTCGGGTCCCATAAACGGTAGGCTTTTGTGGCGTCATCAAACCCTGTGAGAATGCATTCATGTGCCTTGGCATCCCACTTCTTACGTTTCTGCTTCGGTACGTGGGCCCTAGCGTGGGCCATCACTAATGACCCAAAAATACGGATATGGTCCAGGCTTGGCTTCTTGCCGCTCCAGACCTCCTCCGGAATTTTATCGTGCATCTTCGTCAGAGAACGATTTACCATATAAACCGTTGTTGCTGCCGCTTCTGCCCAAAAACGTGTTCGTAGTTTCGCGTCAAACAGCATGCACCACTAGGGTTCGGTTCACACGTTCTGCCAGTCCATTTTGCTCTAGTGTGTAGTCCACCAATGTCTGGTGGTGGATTCTTATACCTATACGCTTCAAATGGTCACCTAAGAGCTTGTTGGCAAACTCCTTTTCGTTATCGGTACGTAGCATTTTTGATCTCTTACCAGTCTGTCTTTCAGTCATGCACCGGAAATCTTCAAATGCCTTGAACACGCTTCCCGCCGAGACTTTTCCTATGATTTTGACAGATAATCGATAGTTCCAATTTTGACATGTCGTCTTTTTATAAATCCAGGCCTAGATCCAGGCTCTTTATTTGTAACGAGAATGAATAATAATTTATTGGCTGATATAATTGATGAACCTACGTTACGGTCGACCAGCAGATGGAAATTATGTGAAAATGATAATGACGTTTTGCTACCTGTCGAATAGTATGGAATATTATTTAGTACATCATAACTTTTGTGGTTTTGGATTTCAAACATAGGTGTCACATGCACTGGTGCAGTTTCGCGTAAATTCATCAATACGTACACTCATAGCCTACTACAAATTATATAATACATGAGGGTTCTGCTTGATAATAATTGTTCTAGTGCACTAGAACCCGAGCTAGAACCTATAGACTAGAACAATGATCCGGCTGAAAATCTCCTAAATAAAGAAAAACAAAAATAGATTTGATACGATCAATGAATAACACACGAAAATCAAACACTTTGCTGCAAAAACAGCTCGCAATTTTCAAAACGAAGGAAGCGTTTTGGTGCAACTTCGTTTGTTTTTGTTTTTCTGCTGCTCCGCTTCTCCACAAAATTAACGAAGATGTCTCCACTGTCCTGTATAACTCAACTGCAAAAATAGTCCCTGTTTTATTTGACGTTCCGGATGCTATAGATGAGATCCTCCTTTATCAAACTATGTGGCAAAAACAGCTAGCCACATAGATTGAAAAAGGAGGTTCTCATCCAACATCCAGAAAGTCAAACACCTCATCAGGGAATATTTTTGCCACTGAGTGATCAACGAAAGAAGAAGTAAATAAAAAGAATCGATCAAAGCAGATAGGACCTTTTGCAATGTTCGCCTAGAATTTATTATAAAATGATAATCGATTAATCGATTAGTCGAATAAAAATAGGACATCCCTATGTTGCATTCCACTTGGCGACCGAGACGCGGTAAACAGCACGCTCGATGTGAGAGCGATTGAAAGTTTTTGATTGAAATTTCGGAAATTGTAGCGGTGATTAAAGCAAATATTTTCAATTCCGCAACGTGCATAGCTCAAGAGGGTTCTCTTCCACTTCGTTCCGGTGGGAGTGAGTGTAATAGTTTACTGGAAACCGACATCCAAAAAAAAAGAACAATGGATACGAGTCAGATGGGAACCAGCGGCGTAAAGGATTTCCTGCGCGATTTGATCCTCCGAGCGGAGGATGTTCTGGGCAAGATGATCTACAAGGTATAATAGCATCTCGATTCGTTGGTTTCCTCTTCGTAACCACCTATCTGTTTTCCCAGCTGACGATAACGGACATCTCCATCGGCGAGATGGTGGCCATGATCAACTCGGTGTTCGCCTTGGTCAGTCAGTGGGAGGAAAACTTGAAGGATATCAGCATGGAAATGCTCAACATTCCGGCGACGGGTTCGAAGCCAGTAAAAACCACCTCCGCTATGGATGAGAGGAAAATTATGGAACAAGTCAGTCTGCTGGTACGCAAGGACGACGGCTGCACTCCGATCGAACCGACCATGGCAAACACTGAGGATGCTAAACCGGTATTTGTCTACTTGGAACAGTCGCTGAAACAATGTGAGTATTTTGCCGGCTTTGTTTGTTTAGTAATAAGTCTCATTGTCTCATTGTTCGTTTCGGTTGTTGTCATCTGCTTGTGTTGCTTCATAGTTTGTAAATGGCTTATAATTGCATGTGCTTGCGCTTACCAGGTACTTATGCTTTCGATTAACACAATATAAACACTAGCTTGGGTAGTTTTTACTAGTCAGAATGTCCTCTTTTAGACTCGCCGGGTCAAACCGGAACGGGCTACCTGACCTACGTGGTTCCAAAGACCACCACATTCTACATGATCGATCGTAGCCAAAGCAACGGCAAAATGGAGCAAACGTTATCTTCTCTGCAAAACGTTAGCACGCACTTGGAAGAGCTTCCGGACTCGGATGTGACCGTATTCGGAGTTGAACTGGAAGGTACCATCTTCCGTGCCATTCGGAGTCAATCGGTTTTGGCGTGGCCGTTTCTAAAACTGTTGGACGTGGGAGAAGTCGTCCCGTACTCAGAATCGATGATACTCTATGAGTTAACGAAATACTATCAACAGTTGGCGCCCTTAGCCGTCCGTTGTCAGTTGGTGGATGTGGTTGATGAGCCGTTCTGCGGTGACTTCAATCGATACCTCATGGATAATTTGTACAACATCAGAAGGTTCGAAATATGCGCACGTGAGGATGATATATTGCGGGTAAACTTGTCCACCGCCTTCAAAGTGAACCGGAATCCATTCCTTCCTTTGACGCAGAAGAAGCCCGTAGAACCAGCTCCCAAAGAGTACAAAATATCGGAAAAGACTCTTACGCAGGAACAGTTGAACTCCCTGTACGAGGAACCGCTGAATACGACCAACGTCATGAAGGCGACGCTGGGATATGTGCCGAAGGACGATGCTCGCATTTGTCCGTTCTACGATCCGAAGATTCAGGGCTGTTTCAAGGGAGCCAGTTGTCGGTTGGAGCACGTGGCCAAAGATCCGGACGGTTGGACCCGGGATCGAGCCCTGCATAAAGCTAAAATTCGGGCGCAGTTGATCGAGCCGAAAATCGGATCGATGGTGAAGCTGATTCCCACGACGATCATCAACGTCGAGGAGTTCTACGGGCAGCTCGATCGAAAGGAGTACATCGAGGGGTTGAGCGAGTTGCAGCGGTTTTTGAATGATCCCACCTACGTACGGGAGTTTCGAATGATGGATCATAAGCCATGTGAGTTTTTTTCTTGTGCTATTTTTATTTTATGCTGAAGGCCATTGAATTGTCCCATTTTAGACACCCGTGAACTGGTGTTTGCCTTCTACTCGGGCGACGGTCAGTGGTACCGGGCGGAGGTGTTGGAATACTTTCACGATGGGTTGATGGACGTGTTCTACCTGGACTATGGCAATCGGGAAAACGTCCGGCTGGAGGATTTGCGCATGTGGGACGATCGATTCGATTACCTGCCGTTTCAGGCGGTCCACTGTCGGTTGGCAAACGTAAGCCGACTTCGGGAGGATGACGCACGGGCGACGGCTGCCCTCCGGGAGGAGATTCTGGACCGACTGATGATGGTCAAAGTGCTGTGAGTGTTGCATGTAGCTTGTTTTTGAATGTCTTAAACCAAAATTGCCTTTTTGGAATTTGCCGTATTATAGAGACATCCGCTCCTACTGGGAAGTGTTGGTGTACGGTGCAGAGATGGTGGACATTGGGCAACTGATGGTCCGAAGGAATATGGCCCGGACGAGACAACCGATTGTGATGAGCGAAAAGGATGGCATGGTGCCGGCTTAGAATAGATTATTATTTGCTCTGTTCAAAAAGAGCTCGAAACAGCCTGCAAGCACTTTTGGAGCGACTTTTTTTGCTTTTGACGCTTGTCAAGTGTCATTAGAGACAAAAAAAAAAAACTAGAAATTGTTTATACATATTCAGTTTATGGTTCCAAAGGATATAGTTTTCTAAGTATTTTGTTAAAACCAAAAAATCGCGAAACAGTTCAAAACAAACAGATCATTGAGAAAAGCAGCTCGAATCAATTGATCACAATATTCGAGCAGTTTAAAACTCGAACTTTGACATGGAATAATATTTTGAGATATTTTTCTTCTAGGGTAGGTGTACCAGTTATGACTATACGTTCCTACTATGATGTGTTCCAATTATGGCATATGGAATTCCCATAGGCCATAATTGGAACACACATTGGATCTTCGAGTAAACAGGTTATAGGTTATAGCGAAACCGAACTTTTTGTCAGTGCGAATTTCAACCTGAGGTAGGTTTTAAAAACAAACGATCAAACTGACGTTTGTCAGAAAACAAGCAGACGCAATCTCTTGATACCCGATCCAGGTTGGAACTGAATAATAAACGAATTGACCACTTTGTCAAGCAGTTTTGGTGTGACTTTCTACCAGCGATTTCACAAAACTGGACCAATTTCTATTTTTTTATTGAACGCAGAAATGATGGCTACTTTCCTAGTGGTTCCAGAAGAAAAAATCTCAAAATAATGTTTTATTTCAAAGTTCAAGTGGTGGTAAACGTCATTTTAACTGCTCGAATGAAGTGGGTAATTAGCTATTAAAATCTCTAGTGGAATGTCGTTCCAAAACCGCTCGACAGTGTGAATAATTCAAAGTTCATTGCCAGTTAAGTCGAGCAGCACTTAGCGAGCTTGATGCCTTCTTCAGACTACAGAGTTATTAGTAATTATCGACAAGATTATTATAACATGGTATAACTCAGTAGTCTGAACAAGGCATATGCCTTAATGGTTTAATACTCATATGTAACGTTTATGTTCCGGCTATAGATTCTGATGAATAATTTTAGTATTTGACAATACGTATTACACACTCTGTTCCAACTGTAATTTTAAATCAATAAAATGTAATTAGGTACTTATTTAGACCGTGGGTCGAATTTTCTGTGTAATGGCTGGTGCAGACTACAGAGGTACAACAACTGATCAGCAATCGGTTTTTTTTCAGTTATCGTGGGGACGTCATTTATGATTAGCCCCGATCCCTTTCAAATTGTGTCGTTATTAGTGAACGGCCCTTATATTCGACATTAACGATTGATATCAAAATGACGTTTCCCATTCATCTACACCGTACCAATACATCATTCTCTGTTTGAATGAAACCGCAGACCATTCAAATCGAAACTCCGAAATCGTTTTTTTCGAATGATCGGATGATGGTTGTTTTGTAATCAGATGATGCTCCTCTCGAATACAGGTTTAACATTGATTGAAACACGTAATGCTCTCTGTAGGATGATTGCCATCCCAAATTGAAATGCATTTGGTACATTAATGCGTTGAAGGCCATCCGTTCCATCAATTCCATCATTGTCCGATGGGAGCCATACCGTGGCGGCCGTCAAGACGTCACCCAGTGTCAGCGTTGCCTGAATTTCGGGCACGGCACCCGAAACTGCTTTGTCAAGCCAATCGCGGTTTTATAGCATTCTACAAGTCTAAATCATGGTCTACAGTACCCTCATAAAACCAAAATTGTTACTTGGGATGTCTCCTCCGAGTGTGTTGTCGACGAGTCGGAAACGGCCAGATGCGCTAACTGTCATGGCGCCCATAAAGGTTCCAACAAACAGTGCCCCAAACGCGAAGATTTCAAGCGGATCCGAAAGCAGGCGTCCACAAGAGATCAACCAGGACGAAAGAAGGACAATACGCCGTTATTCAGAGTGGAGGATTTCCCACCTCTTCCTGCTACGCAGCACGGTCAAGTAAATCCGCGGGTGCAATCCAGCCCCCGTCAAGAAACGCAATCATCATCAAGTTCTACATGCTGCCGCATATCCGCACTTCTATCATCGAGGCCCTTAGTGTGGAGGTGGAATCACCAACCGGAAACGTCCGGTTCATCGCCGTATACTGCCCTCGTCAGTGTGCTGCCAACAACGGACTAAGGATGAAATTCAAGAACGACCTCACCGCTATCACTCGCACGAGCTCCCGATTCATTTTTGGGGGCGATCTGAATGCTCGTCACGAAGCATGGTGCAACTACCAACGGAACCAGAACGGTAGACTACTATTCGACCATGGGCTGTATACGGTGCAATTTCCGGATGAACCGACATTCATCTCTCCTGCGGGAAACCCTTCCACGCTGGACTTCTTCCTGACGAACTTCGGGCTATCCAAGCCGGTGGCAATCAACGATTTAAGCTCCGATCACCAACCGGTGGTGGCTGTGGTCGGCATCAACATAGCTCCTGCTCCAATCCTATGAAAAGACTATCACCACGTCTGGACGTGTGGTTGACCGGAACATTAACGAAAATCCGCCGCTTGACACCGTAGAGGACATCGACCGGGCTCTGGAAGGACTCCACCAGGCCATATCCGTGGCTGACGAGACGTGTGTTCGACAAGTTCCTGTGAGGGGTAAGTTTGTTGCCATTGATTCCCACACCCAGTTACTGATTCGCTTGAAAAATGTGCGTAGACGCCAGTTTCAAAGGACTTGAGATCTGAGCAAAAATCGTGAAATGGCCGATCTGAACAGGCAGATTGCTTCCAGAATGGACTCCCTCCGAAATGAAAGGTAACCAAGGTGCTGAAAACTCATCCCAAACCCGTTCCACCTCTTAGAGTCGAAAATGATAACAATCGGCTCATTACCCCACAAGAGAAAGCAAATGCGATTGGCATTCATATTGCTGCATCGCATTTGCTTGGCCTCCGCTTGTGTCGTCCCTCCGGCAGAAAATATTACAGTGGAGCCGATTTGCTCAGCGCTGAAAACACCATATATATTCAACTTGGTATTGAAGAAGCTGAGCACGAAAGTGTACTCGCTTTTGACTGCTATCCTCAACAGATGCTTGGAACTGCACTCTTTTCCAAGTATCTGGAAGGTAGCAAAAATCATGCCAATCCGCAAACCCGGTAAGGATCCATCACTACCTTCCAGCTACAGACCAATCAGCCTCCTTTCAGCGCTGAGCAAATTGTTCGAGAAACTAATTCTCAATCGTTTGCTTAAGTTTGTCGAGGAGATCAACATCCTCCTACCTGAACAGTTTGGGTTTAGGAAGGGGCATTCCACAAATCACCAGCTAGTTCGGGTGATGAATAACATTCTAAGTAACAAAGCTGTAATCAAGTCCTCAGCCATGGCATTGTTAGACGTTGAAAAAGCGTTTGGCAATGTTTGGCATGACGGACTTGTGTACAAGCTTTGTAACTTCAACTTTCCATTACATCTTGTGAAAATCACCCGAAACTACCTCCAGCAAAGGTCGTTCAAGGTATCGTTGAATGGCTGCAATTCAAACACCTTTTCCATCCCAGCAGGTGGTCCGCAAGGAAGTCTGTTGGGCCCTTTGCTATACAGCATCTACACTTCCGACATTCCTCCCTTGGGCAACGGTTGCGTGTTCTTCCTGTTTGCAGATGATACCGCAATAACCGTCAAGGGAAGGATGCCTCGTGAAATAACAAACAAACTTCAACGATGCCTTGACGCCTTTGCTGATTATGCCAACACGTGGAAAATCAAAATCAATGCCTCCAAAACCCAATCAGTAATGTTCCTCCATCGGCAATCTCCCAAACTAAAACCGGCTCCCTCTTGTACTGTAATAATGGATGGCACAAGGGTTGAGTGGTCCACCGAAGTAACATATCTTGGTATGTTATTTGACGAGAAGCTCCTTTTCCGCTCGCTCATATATAGGGCAGTAGTTAAGTGTTATAATCTAGTTAGGTTATTGTATCCGCTAATTTGCCGCAGATCTCGTCTCTCTAGGGTGAACAAACTGGCTGTCTACAAATAAATCATTGCGCCTGCGATCTTCAACGCAGCTCCGGTGTGGGAATCATGTGCACAAACTCACAGGAACAAAATACAGGTAGCGCAGAACAGGGTATTGAGGATGATCCTAGATCGTTCTTTCGATACCCGCATTTCCGACCTCCATCAAGAGGCTAACATTCTGAAAGTAGATTTTCAAATTAACGAAACTAGGAACAAATTTGTGTAGAAATGCAATACATCAGAACATGCTTTGATAAGCAATTTGTATATAGTAGGTTAGGTGTATATAGTAGTTGTAGTTGTAAATAGTAGTTTTAAGTAGTCTCGTTTTCTAATTAAAAAACCAATCCCACCATGACCAGAAGGTCCCGAAGAAACGTGCTCAACTTTTTGGCTCAGCTCTAGTACTCTCTTCGGTCCCAAGCTAATCGATGCACCCCTCGAAACATAGGAAAATCCACTAACCCCTGTCAAACTTTCATAGCGAATCAAAGCAAACATTGTGTAGTACTAGAATTTCGACTAGAATAGGATACGTTAATCGTTTGCTTGGGACCAATAGGCTAGTCAAGTAGTGAGCCAATTTAAAATCGTTAGTTTTGTATTGATTGTTGGTCATACTTTAACAGGCCTGATAGGACTAGGAACAGTAAATAATAATTAAAACTTCAAAATAACTAAAGTTTCTGTGTCACTTAAAAATTCATACATGTAAACCAAACAAATACAAGAAATAAAGATCATTCCAATTCAAAAAAATTGTCTTTATTGAGGTGGAGAAGTTTCCTTTAAAACAACCGATTTTGTATCCATGATGGATACAAAGATGGCGCTGTTCATGTTTTTTCAATATGGAAATGTAAACAATCGAGTTATAAATTTAATTTTAAGCATTTGCAAGTCATCCTATTCTTAAATTGTTGCCCTCTGAGCGCTGGATGTTTTAGTTAATAAAAAAAAATACCATCCTTTATTTGGATGACAGTCATATGGATGTAGTGTATATATCAAAGGGGGAATTGACTGTCAAATACGAACAATCGTCGCCTAGCTCGCATATCTAGTTCCAAATCATAAGCAATTATGATTTGTTGATGTTTGGAACCAGATTCACAAATGAAAAATCAATTAGTGTAAACAGGAGAGGCCCAGTGGGAGAACGAATGACACGACAAATTCATTGGTTTCTAGAGTAACATTTGAAATGAGCCTATGTCCAAAACGTAAACAAACCAGAAAATATATTTTAAATTTTTCCGCCACTATTCAATTCATATTTAAGAAAATTGAAGTATTTTAGGCATTTATATTTTTTTTAACTAGATCGTTTATTTACTAGGCTCAGTCGTGAGTGACACTTTGCGGAGCCAAAATCAGTAATGTTTGATTTACATTTTAAATAGCAGTATTTCTAGGTTAGTATTGGGTACCAATTATTCGTGGCGGGCTCGAGGTTATTGGGTAACAATTTCGATTGGAAGGATCTAGGTAGGAAACTGGTTTCTGAAGCCTCCTTCGGATACTACTCACGGACGGTTGACCAAATCCTGGCTGGGCAGAGGCAAAGGAGGATAATAAGACTGGGACACAATGGAGGGAAATTGTTTGGAAAAGAGAGGGGTAGTCACATCAAACTCTAACATCAGACAAACAA